GGGAGACACTCAGCCACCTGGGGTCAGACAGCTCCTGCCCACCGTGCAGATGTAGAAGGTGAGGCTCGGTCTTGGTGGAGGAAGGCCTCACCCCAGGTTGACAGCAGAACCCGGCTGAAGGCTGGGCTCTTTTCCTGCAGTCCAGGGGCCATCAGCTGGCCTGTGGGGACCCCGCCCCTACCTTTACACCCTGGAAGGCACCCTCTGTGCTGACTCCCCCAGAGGGGCTGCTCTGGCTCCCCAGGTCCAGGGTGTGCAGTGGCAGAGCAGAGCTTGTAAATAACCCGCAGTCAGGCTCCAGGCAGGCAAGAGAGGGGAGGGCAGTGTCCCAGCGGCGGGAGCCCCGTGACTCCGGGGCACGCGGGAAACAGGCTGCTCTGTCCAAGCCCCGCAGGCCTCGGGGGAGGTGGCAGAACAGTCCTCGGAGCTCACACACGCAGCGACACAAGGGCCCTCGTCCAAGGCCACCCGGGGGTGGGAGACACATCTGGGAGAACCCAGAACCACTGGCTGACCGTGGAGGGACCTCCTGCACCCTGCTGAGCCCAGGTGGTCACTGGCCCATTGTTAGAAGCTGGCCCTAGGGACAGATGTGGGGGCGGCTTGGTCCCGGGCAGCTGGTGGAGGCAGGGCCTGGCCTCTCTCCTGGGTGGCTCTCTCCAGGCCTGGCCCTGGCCTGAGGGCTCACAAGATTCGGGGATGGACGGCACCACCCACAAATAGGCTGATTTTTAGTCCCCTCTCCCAACCTGCTTCGCAGAGCTCCACCCTCCAGCCCAGGAGAACCTGCCACCAGAGCTGTCCACCCGAATGGCCCCGCAGTATAGATGGCTTCCTGAAGGCCGGGCTGCGGCTGCCCAGGATCGGGGCTCTGGTCCTAGTGCTTGGCCACTCTCTCTCAGCCTTAATTATCCCATCTGTGAGCTGCAAATGATCCACAGCCCTCCCTCCCGCTCAGGGCTGTGGTGAGGACGATGGAGCGAAAGCAGGAAGGTGAGGGGTGTGCACCTGTTTTCTCTGCCCTCACGGCGCTCTGACCCCAGGAGACCCTCGCCAGCTGCCCCCCAAGCTGCACCTCGCCCCACCCCAGGACGGGGCTCGCATCTCCTTCCCTCTGGCCTGGCCCGTCCAGGGAGAAGACAGCAGAGCCAGATGTTCTGCAGATGTCGCCAGTTGTAAGCAAAACAACAGCACACCAGGGGCTTCGCTGAGACCCCGGGTCCGCAGGCCGAGGGCTGGGAGCCATGGGCGGGCGGGCTGAGGGTTGGAGGGGTAGAGAGGGCCAGCGGGGGTGCTCTCTGGAATAGGCTGTCCACGGGAGGAATCCACGGAGAAGACACAGGCAAGGCCGGCGCCGCGGCTCACTAGGCTAATCCTCCGCCTAGCGGCGCCGGCACACCGGGTTCTAGTCCCGGTCGGGGCGCCGGATTCTGTCCCGGTTGCCCCTCTTCCAGGCCAGCCCTCTGCTGTGGCCAGGGAGTGCAGTGGAGGATGGCCCAGGTGCTTGGGCCCTGCACCCCATGGGAGACCAGGAAAAGCACCTGGCTCCTGGCTCCTGCCATCGGATCAGCGCGGTGCGCCGGCCGCAGTGCGCCAGCCGCGGCGGCCATTGGAGGGTGAACCAACGGCAAAGGAAGACCTTTCTCTCTGTCTCTCTCTCTCACTGTCCACTCTGCCTGTCAAAAAAAAAAAAAAAAAAAAAGACACAGGCAAAAGGCCCAGGGGGTGCAGAGGCAGCAAGGCAGGGGTGGGGCTCCAGGAGGAGTTTGTGCAGGGGAGGGAACATGGAGGAGTGGAGTGGAGACTCCAGTGGGTGGACAGGTGGCTTCCTGGGCGGACGGCTCCCTGCTGACCTGCCTCTGTTTCCCATCCCTACCCCAGGACCCTAACTTCAGATGGTGAGAACTTTAGCGCCCCAGAGGGCTTCCGGGGCCTCTCATGCCCCCTTGAAGGTAATGAGCTCCCTGTCCCGGAAGGGATGCAAGCAGAAACCCACACAGGGGCTGAGCACTGGGCAGCTAGATGGTCCCTTCCAGGCTAGAGATACCAGGAGGCCAGGGTCACACCAAGCCAGGCCATGTGGGCACGTGGCACACACAGCACAGGCCAAGAGCAGGAGGGACCTGGCTCCCTCACCAGGAGTTCAGCAGCGGTGGTGCCCACTGCCCCCCCCCCCGCCCCTGCCACTCACCCAGGTGAGCGGCACTGCTGTGCCCTCCTCACTCCTCACTCGGCCCCGCCCTCCTTGCCAGTGTCCCCAGCTGCTCCAGCCACGCCGTTGCTGACTTTACTCCCTGAACCTGTTCCTGGAAGGATGAGAATTGGGTCTCAGGCTAAGAGCTCTCCCCATCCACACTGCCTGGGCGTCGGCTGATGCTAACAGCCACTCACGTTGAAGCTGCACATGCGCGTGCCGAGCGCTGACCTGTCCTTGCCTCCCCCCCCACACACACACATATGCGGCCTCTCTCTGTCATCGCCACGCCTGGGTAGGTGCCAACACGCACAGTGTATACCTGAGAAAGCTGAGGTGAACAGAGGTGATGTGGTTCATGGCAAGGTTGGCAGATGTCCAGCCAGGGTCTGAACCCAAGAGCCTGGCTCCGAACCCTGGGCCCCGCCTGCCCCACCTCTGCCTCAGTCTTCCCATCTGTGCAGTGGGGTGGGAGCTGGACACCAGGACCTCCCAGCGCCAAGGCCCCACCTGAACCAGCTGGGATTGCCAGCCAGATACCAGGGAGCCTACTCCTTCCCCACGTGGGAAAGAAGAATGGAGCCCGGCCCGAGCAGCGCAGGGCAGGGTTTGGAGGATGTACCCAAGGCCTCTAGGGAGCCCAGGAGAGGCCAGGGGAGGAGGACCCCGTGCCTTTCCAGTGGGCTCTCCAGCTGCTCTGCACAGCCAGAGCCGCGCGGAGGCCAAGGGCACCGGGGTGTGAGTAATGGAAACCAGGCCGCAATGGCCTTTCTGAAATGGGAATTCCATCTGCCTGACTTTGCGCTCCTGGACTTTGGTTTCCATGGCAACAAGGGGGCCGGAAGGTGGAGCGCCTGGCTCAAGGCTGAATCCTTGGAACCTCAAGAAAGTGGACGATGAATCTCTCCGTGGGCCCAGCGGCTTCTCCAAGCCCAGGATGCCAGGGAGCGCCCAGGCCAGGCTGGGACGGCGAAGTCCTGGCTTCTGAGCCAGCTCTGCCTCTGGGCCCCTCGCGGGGGGACAGCACGTGGTACTGCGGTCCTCTCAGGGCCTCAGTCCCCTCCGCTGTCACCGGTCGGGTGCCCCGCAGAGAATGAAGAGAACAGCTCTGCTCCTTGGTCCTTCTGACCTCGGAGAGGCCCGCGGGCTCCGGGGTGGCTGAGGAAGAAGTCCCTCCTGGCTCACAGAGCCACACAGGGCTCGGGCCCCTGGGGTCCGCAGGAGGAAGACCCAACCCCTGTGGGAGGAGCTCAGGCTCCCGGTCCAGGGGAGAAGCTGCAGAGATGGACCTCCAGAGGCCCATGCTGCAATGGGCTCCAGGGATTCTTCCGGCCCCGTCGTGGAGAAGCTGAGAGCACCAATCCCACCTCCACAGGCTCAGAGAGGGGCAGTGACTTACTAAGGGTGCACAGCAACTTAGTAGCCAAGGCAGGTCTCCAACCAGGCCTGCCCCATTCCGACAGGTAAGCGAGCCCCTGACGCTGCTGTTGGTGAAGGGGCTGCCCTTCGAGGGAGCGAGGCTGCCTCAAACCAGAGGAGAGCTGTGTGTGGTGGTGCTACTGGCAGGCCGCAGGGGTGGCAGGAGCAGGAAGCCCCACTTGCAGGAGGCTGGGAAGACGGCAGCTGTCCGGGCCAGTCAGGCAGCTCAGCCGTCACCCACCCCCAGCCCCAGGGGAGGAGGCCCCAAGATCTGCTGTGGGAGCAGGACCAAGGACCCCCTCTGTGCCCAAGCCCCCTGCAATCCTGGGGAGAGCTCAGCCCCCAAACTCCCTGCCAGCCTCCAGAGACCACCAGCTGAGACCCTTTCACTAGGCGGGGGGCAGGTGGGTGGCCAGCATGGGGCAAGGGAGGAAGGGGCTGCACGGCACCCATGTCCTCTGTGTCTGCAGGGGCCCAGTGGGCAGAGTGGGGCCCAGAACCCAGGCACAGAACAAGATTCACGTGGATGGGGCCCAGGGCCTCCCACATATCTCCATGCGCTCCTCTAAGCCAGCCTGCAGAGTGGGTCTCCACCCGGGCCCTGGGAGGCTATATGTGTGGGCATCAGGGTCCGGCCTGGGCTCTGTGCCCCCTTCTGCCCACTCCTGGGAGAGGGGGCCGTGTCCCTCTCTGAAATATGCCTCGGAGCCAGGCCTTTCCTAAGTTTGCCTATCCTGGCAAAACAAAGGCACGGATGGCACAGCCTGGTCGCAGGGCCACTGCCTTCTGTGTAAGTCCTGCTTCTTGTCACCCCACCACCACCACCACCACCACCACCACAAACAGCAGCTCTGTCCAGACCTCCTTGAGCCAGCAGCCACCACGCCCAAGATTCTGGCCCTGTCCACTTCCACTGACCACCCAGCACCACCTGAGAGCGCCATGAGAAACGCCGGCTGCGGCACGGCAGAGAAGTGGAAGAACCTGCGGCAGGTCGCTGGGCCCGCTGGCGGCGCGGCCAGGCTGGGACGCGTCCTGTGGCTCGTAGTGTACAGGATCTGCGGCGCTGAACCCGGCCCCACCACCTGCTGACCAGGTGACCTGGGGAAGTCCCCTGAGCCGCCAGTGCCTCACTCTCCTCATCTGTGAAATGGGGATCACGCCTACCCCCCAGGCTTGGGGAGAAGATGTGCCAACAGGTGGGGCGAGTGTGGCAGGGAGCCCGGTACAGAGGCAGCAGCTCGGGAGCAGCTCCTACAGGTGCGTCCAGCTCTGGACACGACCACAAGCTGGGAAGCGGGGAGGACAGACAGCTCCTCGGTGGCCCCACCCCCAGGCAGCCACCCTGGGAAGGCTCAAGACCAGGAACACAGGAAGGGTCGAGAAGGAGAAGTAACACAGGCCTTTTATTTGTTCCAGAACTTGGCTACTGTGTGGTCCGAGGGTGCCATGCTTGCCCAGAGCCGCCAAGCGACACCCCACCTGTGCCAGGTGTCTGTGAGGTCAGCCCGCGGTGCCCTCCAGGACCCCTCGGTCCAGAAGGCCCTGCTGCCACCACTGGTGCCTGAGACCAGCAAACGCCCTGCACCTGGAGAATGGCGGCCCCTCGTCTGGCAGGTGGCTTTTCACAAGGCGCTGGTTAAAATATTGCACTTGGAAATGAGGGAAACTGACGCGGCAAGGGCTTCCTAGCGCGGCATGACGGCCAAGCGTCCAGCTGCTGTTTCAATAAATAGAACTCAAGGTGGGCGGCCGTGCTGCCGAGCCCCACAGCCCCCAGCGGGGGCCCGAGCCCAGGCCCAGGCCTCCTGCCCCTTCAGCCAGCTCTCTAAAGAACTTGGTCAACGCGAAGTCTCCGAGGTCTCTGCGGCCGGGAGTGGCAGCTCCAGATCTAGCTCCGCCGGGGCCCCCGCCCTGCCAGGGCCCTGGGCCCCCTCGTACCGGGACAGTGGGGACCCAGCGGGGACCCAGCCCTTCTACTCTTCCAGCGGCCTGGGTCTCCTTGGACCCGGCCTCGCGTCCCAGTGTCCGTCCGTCTGTCCTCTGGGGGCTTGCCTGCCCCCTCCGTCGCAGTAGGGAGGAAGGCAGGTGGGCGGGGGGCCCAGCCTGCCTGCTGTGAAGGGTGAGCTCCACTCCAGCAGCTCCTAAAGCGGGGGACTCATCTTCTTCTGCTGAATGAGGTCCAGGTAGAGGTCAGAGCGGAGGAAGCGGGGGTACGAGTCCTTTTCCATGAGCCCAAAGATACGCTTCTGGGCCAGGTCGAAGCAGCCACGCGTGACGCTCTGCAGGTTGTCCTTGGTGTGCTCCCGCGTGTACGAGTCCAGGTTGACCTGCAGAGGCAGAGGGGGCGCAGTCAGAGGCCTGGCGGCTGGTGCAGCCCCTCTGCCCCGCGTGGGCAGGGTCACCTGCACCGGGGGCCTTCAGGCCGCAGGACTCAAGTCCTGGCTCTGTGCCACCCTGCCGGGGGGTGGCAGAATTTACAAAGCCTGAAAAGACCCCCCGCTAGGGGCTGGCTGCCCAGGCTTCCCATCGCAACAGTGCCAGCCCGGGCTGTGTGATCTAAAGCCGACCACTGCCATGTGCTGTGCCCCAGCTGCCTTCTCCGCGGGCTGGCAATCACGCACACACCTCCAGGAGCTCTGAAAATTCAGGCTGCCTGGCACACAGCAGGCGCTCGACACAAGTGAGCAGCCAGGACTAGGCCCCTGGGAGAAGATGGTACTAACACCCACTTGACAGGTTGTCACGCGGATTACACGAAAGCCCCCAGCCCAGAGGGCTTAGCACGTGCCTGGCCCCTGGCCGTGCCCAAGTGTGGCCGGGATTCTGCTCCCCGCTTGGGCCTCTCACCCCCGGCCTGCATGCCCAGCTCCCAAGAGTCCCTCTGCCTCTTCGCCGCCCTGAGCTGCTGGCTGAAGCTCCACTGGGCAGTGGCAACTGGGGGCCGAGGGCCGGCCCAAAGCCCTACCTCCTTGCACGCCTGGATCGCGATGTATTCAGCAAAGATCTTCTTGGCTTTGGCTGCCATCTTGGACTGCGACTTGACCTTCTTGAAGTCCTCACAAGCCAGCCAGAACTCCAGGTTCTCCTCGCTAAACTCCGTGCGGAGGAAGGCCTGGAACACGGCTAAGCCATCTGTAAGGAGAAGTCCGGCCCCCCATGAGAGGCAGGGCCGGTCCCACCGGCCCTTGCACAGTTCGCAAAGTCCCCACCCGCCCTGGGCTGTGCTCTCAGCCCTGTGACTGCCTCACGAGAGGCCCACGTGTGCCTCAGTGTCCTCACCTGTAAGACAGGAGTTGTCAACCCTGTCTCCGGGGACCTTGGGAGCGTCAGAGCTCCTGCCCTCGAGACACTGGGCACATTGCGGCCGACGTGGGCCCTCAGTACCTGGAGATGTTTACTGCTGTTCTGGGAATACGGGTCTGGGCACACAGGTCCCAGATGACCTCCGGCAAGCAGGTCCAGTTCCATGGACAGGGAGCGGCTGGCAGAAGCCAGCAGCAAGGCCAAAGTCAGGGCTCTCCCCAGGGCTAGGGACACCTGCCTGGGCAGGAGAGAGGGAAGGCGGCCTATCCAGGGCCACGCTGTAGGTCTGGACAGTGAGAAAGGAGAGAGAGAACCCAGCGGGGAGACAAGGCCAGCCCTACTCACATTTATGAAGCAGCAGCTTCTCCAAGGACTCGCTCCACTTGAGGGCTTCCTCCGAGGTGGGCCTGAGAGGTGAGGGGCAGAACAGGGCGAGACCATGAGCCTGGGGCCCTTTGTCAGGGGCCCGTGCCCGGGCTGTGGCTGAGTCGGGCTGGCGAGCACAGGAAGGCAGCTCACACCCTTTCTTGGGGTGCTTACCACCTGCAGCCCCACCCGCGCCCCGTACCCCCGGAGCGCTGCCACTGGCTGGGTACCCTGCCCCCCTCGCGCCTCCAGCTGCCCAGAGTGGAATCAGGCACACACAGCCCTTAGCCCCTCCGCCCTGCCCTGCTGCCCGCGGAGGGTCCCGGGGGCCAGCCAGGACCTACTTGAATGACTTCATCATTTTGTCTGCCTTGCCCGCCGGCTGGGCCCCAGGGGACTCGTTCCGCCTCCTGAAGATGCCCAGCTTGGTCTTCATGTCCTTGGCTCTGGGGACAAAAGCAGAGAAAGCGCTTGGTGAGCCGGCACTCCGGCGGGGCAGGGAGGCCGCCGCGGGCTGGGCAGGGGCCACCTACTCCTTCATCGTGTGCCGCCTCTGCAGGTTCCCATTCCGGGTGAGGTACATGCCCCGCAGCATCTCTGCAGGGCCCCCAGGTTTGGGCCCCAGGACGGCAAGCCGGGAGCACCCCTTGGGCTCCTGCCCCCCGGCCCCCGGTCTGAGCGGGTAGCAGCGGTGCAGGCGGCAGCCACGCGGGCGCTCACTGGGAGCCTGGCCGGACGACTGGACGCCCAGGCACAGGCTGGGGCTGGGACTCCGACAGGAGGAGCCAGGAAATGGGAGGGACCAGGAGGGGGCGCGGAGAGGGAGCCGTGAAAGGGGCATGTGTCTGCGCGGGCCGGCCTCCGGGGCCGCCCTCGGCCCCCAGCCAGACCCAGTTATTTGTCACCAGCCTCCCGGTTCCCATGGCAGCCGGCAACGGGAAGGGGAGAGAAAACAAGTCAGCAAATTGCCGGGAGGAAAGCCGGGAAGGGAGGGAGGGGAGGCTCTGCCCACCAGGACGGGCTATTTTTAGCCAAGAACCATTTTTAGCCAGGCCGCTAACATCGAAGGGTAGGGTAGGGCGAGCTGCCTGCCGGCAAGGAAGGGGTTACATGCCTCTGACTCTCAGCGCTGGTCCCCACCTTTTCCACTGCCCAGCTGCAGCACGGGCACCTCCTGGAGGAGGGCTCGGGTACACCCGTCCCCAACCCTGAATGCACCAGAAGTCCCCAAACTCTCGGCTAACTTCCTGAGCTCAAATCCTGTGCACTCGCAAAGCATGTCACTTGGAAGTTGAATTACTGCATTTTGCACGCATATTTAGTTTTATGATTTTTGAACAATTTTTTTGGAATAATAAATCTAATAACACATTGTTGAATAATACAGTTTTCATCTTTGGTCACCATCGTTCTGAAGGTGGAAAATGCTGATGGGAACCAGAAGTTTAAATGCAAAATTTATTATCGAATCACAAGGCTCACTAAGTGTCAAAGGAATTTAGATAATTAAACTTTCAAGTGCATTTCCTTAAGTTTGTAGCTTTTGTTCTTCGGAAGTTAATGATGCTTCAAACGGCACTGGGAGCCGCAGGGACACCTTATATAAGGGAAGCGGTACCAGGAGGGGGGTGGGTGGCTTAGGAGCGCAGGCCCAGGAGCCAGACAGCTCTGGGTTCCAGCTCCAGCTCCAGCAGCTGCGGGCTGTGTGCCCTCCGTCAGGTGGCCTACCCTCTCTGAATGGCCAACAGGGAGGAAAGCAGCAGCACATACTGGGCCGTTGCCGGCGCCTGGTGCGGAGTGCCCGGGCCGAGGTCGCTGAGGCCCACCTGGCCCACAGGTCAGGGAATCCTGCTCCGGAGGTTCCAGGCCAGTGAGATAAGGCCGGGGAGTCCCGGGATCAGCAGCTCTGTGGGTGAGGATCGGAATCCTCAGCCTCGCGGGACACGGAGCAAGGGAGCAGTGTTTCCTGGGGCACCGAGCTCTTGTCCAAGGGCCCTCCTCCAGCTCACCTGTGTCCAGGTGAGACGCAGAAGCCCAGGACAGGCAAGCGGCTTCCCTGAGCTCCAGCCCGCGGGGGGCCTCCATCACCAGGGCCCTGTCTACTCCTCGGTGGCGGGAGGAGGCTGAGGCTCCTGTCCAGCCAGGCCTTCCCTCCCAGATGCACACGGGACAGACACAGGTGCACATTCACGCAGCTGGCGTGCCAGGTGTCAGGGCCCAGCTCTACCGCGTACTCACTCCGGGACTCGGCAAGTAATGTAGCCTCTTTGTGCCTCAGTTTACTCAGCTCTAACATGAGGATAACATAACAGCAAATGTGAAATAAAAATAACGGTGAAGATGAAGTGAGCCGACACATGTGCACACAGAGCTGTGCCCGACACAATAAATGTCAGGTACATTTTCAGCACTGGGTCCTCGAATGATATTTTAGGAGTATGAGCTTCAGGCAGCACCCACTCTGAAAGGGGGTGGAGTCTGGGCCAGGGCGGCTCCAGCTCCCTGGGAGCCTACCTTCCACGGCCCCACTCCGCTCACCCCGCCAGTGCCTTCCAGAAAGGCTCTGCTGCCAGGACCCTGCCTCGTCCTACCAACAGCCGAGTGAGGGCGCTGGTGCAAAGAACTACTTTAGTGTGTGTGTGCCACCTTATGCAGAAAGTGCAGTTGTTCCTGGCGACAGAGCGACAGGCCTGCAATTGCTGCAGCACACTGGACAGGACAGGGGAGCTGGGGACCCAGCCAAGGTCAAGGCCAGGGAAGAGGGTCGCAGGAGATATCTGGGAAGCCCGGGCGTCCTCCTCCCTCAGGCCCAATCTCTGCTTCATGGTGGGTGCTACGGGCTCCTGGAGGCCACTGTGTGCCACCTGCTTGTGCCTCTCCCCAGGATCCAGGGCCTCAGGGAGAAGTACTCCCCACACCTTGTTCACTGACTTCTCTAACAAACCTCCCGGAGCATGGGAGGCCTGAGTGGGGCCAGAGAGCCTTGGTTGGGGAGGATGGTGTACAGTAGCCGAGCCAGCAGCGCCCCCTCCTGGCAATGCCTGAGACAGCCACCATTCAAGAGCCCTAGAATGGTCAGCTCTCCCCGTCCTCAGGTCACTGCTGGGCTCAGGAGCTGGCCGGGGGCCAGGGCAACCTGGCAACTTGCCTGGGGTGCAGTGTGGCTTCCGGGCCCTGAGTCAGCACCTTGTCTCTCTCTGAGTGCATGCTCAGGGCCCTGGTGACCCTGCCCCAGGACTACTGCCAAGTCCCAATCCCACAGGTTCCTGGTGTCTGCCTGGGGCTGGGGGTGGGATCGGGCACAGCCCCTTCTCCCCACCTGTACCCCAGAAGGAGAGAGAAGCCCTAGGGTGGGGAGGAAGAAGGGTTAGGGGTTGCTCCCCGATCACCAGCAAGGGGCCACGCGTTTCTCCAACATACAGGTTTTTGCTCTTTCTCTTCCGGGAGGCCTCGTCATCATCCCCACTCATCTGCAGAGAGAAGACAGACACAGTGCAGTCGGGGCATCTGGGCTGGCGCCCAAGCAGGAGAGGCGCAGGGGCCCGAAGACGCCTGTAGCCAGCCCAGTCCCCAAAGCTCCCGCCCGGACCGAACAGGTGAGGGAGGAAAGCCACTGGTGGGAACGTCCTGCCTGCCCTTGCCGTGCGATGGGCTGCACCCTCTCCTGATTCCTCTAGGACCCTGGCTTGCCGGGGGCAGGGGGGGAGCACTCGGGGCGGTGCCTCTGCAGGCGGCGGAGGCAGCAGGCATGGCTCCAGCCAGGCTTCTGTTGTGTGACCTGGACAGTCGCTACCCGTCTCTGCCTCCGTTCCTTAAGTTCTAAAACAGGGATCATGGTGATTCACTTGGGATTCTGAGGACTGAAGGAGACCTGGGACTGCTTAGCAGTGTGGACAGTGAGGCATGACACTGGCCTGAGAGCACCTCTCCAGCCTTCAAGCTCTCCATGGATCCCCAGTACCCCAGGAGAATGTGTGAACCCTGTAGTGTGATGGCGTCTGCCCTCTGAGGACCTGGGAAGAAAGTGCCAGGATTTAAGATCTTTATTTATTTATCTATTTAGTTATTTTGAGAAACAGGCAGAGACAGAGAGACCTCCCATCTGCTGGTTTACCCCTCAGATGCCCGAAGCTGGGAACCCAATCCAGGTTTCCCACCAGGGTGACAGAGACCCAAATACTTGAGCCATCACTTCTGCCTCCCAAGGCGTGCATAAGCAGGAAGCTGGAATCAGGAGCAGAGGCGGGACTCGAACCCAGGCCCTCCAATATGGAATGCAGGTATCCCAAACTGCATTGAGTATAACCGCTCAGCCAAATGCCTGCCCCATGAAGTTCAATTCTGACATGAGTTACAAGTCTCCCAGTTCGCTCTGCAGCCTGGCCCCACTGCACAGAGCTCCCCCACTGCCTTCCAACCCACACTGTCTTCACCTGGGCCTTTGCACGCGCTGCTCCTCCATGGGGATGCCTCTGTGACTCTCCCACCTCCCTCTGCTCCCAAGACCCAGCTTCAGGTAAGACCTAGACCTCAGGTAAGCAACTCAAATGTCTCCTCCCCTGGGAAGCCCTCCCTGAGCCCTCAAACAAGGCTGTGCCCCTTCACCTCTCGTGAGGGCCCCCCCACACCCAGAATGCTTGATCCAAATCTGTCGCCTCTGCTGGGCTGTGGACTCCCAAGGGCAAGGCCTCTGTCTGCCTGAACCACTCTGTGGGGCCCACACCAGGAGCTCAGTGAGTCAGATGTGTCAAACGAATGAATGATTGGGTCAGGAGGGGAAGTGGATTTGCAGAGACGAGCTCTGAAGCCATCACTGCCTGACCCAGGGCCTGCAACTCCATGGCAGCCCACTGTTTCCTCCCCAGCTGAGCCCCTGGCCTTGACCTGTGCCGGCCACCCCCGTGGAAAGCTGTCTTTCCTCAATCCTTGCTTCCCTCCTGCTCTGGACCACTCCAGACTCCCACCAGCTCTACGGGGGCTGTGCCGTCTCCCTTGCTTTGCCTGGGCTCAGGCATCCTCCTCTGGGGAGACCCAGGGCCCCGGCAGCGCTACCCCGGAACAGGAACCTGAACACGCTCAGAGACGGCAGAAGGGCAAGGGCTCAGAGCAGGACGGGCGTGGCCCTGTGTCCCCAGACAGGACAGAAGGCCACCGGGCTGAGCTCACCTCTGACTCCCCGGGAGACGCCCCCACCCAGGGCCTGTTTCCTTATTTGTAAAAGAAAATAGGCTAACCCTAGAAGTGCCCTTCTTAGTTCTGGGTGGGGGTGGGGGTGGGGGTATCTCCAGATACAGCCAACAGGGGAAGCACCTGGCCTCCGTGGGACATCCACCAGGGATGGAAGGATGGATGAACAGACAGATGGATGGATGGATGATGGAAGAATGACATCTTCTTTTACTGAGATCATACTACAGGCCAGACCCTGGCACGCGCAGAATCCAGCTACTCACAGTACATCCATAATGCAAACGGAGGGTCAGAGACATGAAGTCACTCGCCCAAGGACGTCCAGCATTTAAGCAGCAGAGCTGGAATCTAAGTGTGGATTACAGGCCGTGTTTCTCCCGCAGAGGATGCCGCTCCGCAGACGCGAGGACGGGCACGGTTTGCACGTTTCCAGTGAAAGGCTCGGGGGAAGTTCTGCCTGACAGTGCCGCCCTACCAGAGCTGTAAACACACGTGTGTGTACGTGCACACGGAGGCGCACACCCGCACGGTGTGTGCCTGCAGAGCTAGGGCTCACGGCCCGCCTGCTTCCCTCGGCCTGGGAGGAGTGTCCAGGGCTCTCAGCCTCCATTTGTGTGGCCACAGAAGAGTCCTGGTGATGGCCGCCTCGGGGGGCTGCTGGAAGGTTCACCAGGACAAAGTCAAGGCCCCCATGGCCCGGTCCTGGCACACACAGTGCCCTCTGTAATGGGGGTTCATTGTCTGCTGAGCGCAGCAGCCCTGGGCCCCCACCCGTGGGAAAGCGGCCGCAAGCGCTGGGCTTCCTCCCATTCTAACCTCAGCTTCCGCACTTTATGGGCCCCACACAATGGGCCTGGGGACCACTCCCGCCCTGCCCACTGCCCCAGCCTCTGCACTGCTGGGAAATGGGCTCTTCCTTCCACTGCTGGGAGCAGACCGTCTTCAGCAGGCACTGGCCTGAGCCAAGCGGCCTGACAGAGCGGCTGAGCTGCTAGGACTGGAAGTGGGCCTCTTCCTTGGGCAGCCAGGGCCAGCCAGGCACCAGGGGGGAGACAAGAGACTGAGAAGAGGGAAACACGGCGTTCTGACCCCCAGCCCTAGGGTCTCCCCAGATCTGCAGGGAGGCCGTGGCCTCTGGCCCTGCTTGCTCACAGCTGCCGCAAGGCTCGGGCCCCACGTGCAAAGGGGCTCCCCAGAGATTCTCCTTCCACTGCTCCTCATTCTCTCACTTGCTGCTCCCGCCCTGCTGACAGGCAATCAGAGGGGAGCCAGAAGCAGCCAGCCCTCCCTCCCCTCTGCACAGCAGTCCCTGGGGCCTGGGGCCTCACCCAGCCACCCCCAGAGACTGGACACTCACTGCCTCTCAGAGTGATGACTCTTATCAGACTGTCATTAGAACTATAATTACAGTAGTGACGAGGGTGCAGCTTCTAAGCTGCCCAGGTTGGGATCCCGGCTCAATCACTTGTCAGCTAATTGCCCTTCATCAGCAACACGCCCTCTCTGGGCCTCCATTTCTTTCAGTGCAAATCCAGGCTACTAAACTGGCCCTGCTCATGGGGACAAGGTCAGTCAATGCATGGGACGCGCTCCACATGTGGGAAGGCACTCGGCAGCCGCTAGCTGCGGGGGGTTCTCTAACTATTAACTGAGCGCTCGCTCACCACGGGCTAATGTATCTCATTTAATCCCTGCACAATTCTCTAAGCCATTTGCTCTGACTTCCCCCAATCCAGTGAAATACTGGTAAGGGCACAAGGCCCAGAGCCATCTGGTGACCTGCCCGGACCTCCCGACTGGCAAGTGGCAGAATGCTGGGTCCCGCTCCAGACCCCTCCGGTGCTGACGGGCTCTTGTGTGGATGGGGTGCCGGCTGGTTGCTTCTACCTGTCCCAGTGTGGTCTCTGTGGCCACCAGCCACACGTGGCTGCCCTCTCGGCTGGAACAGCCTGGCAGGTCCCGTGAAACTGTGCGGAAGCGCTGGATCCCAACTCTACACTGATTTGTTCAGAGATAGGAAGTTGCTCTGCTTTGGGCTTTTTAAAAACAGAATGATTGAAGGTGTCATCAGGCGTTGGGGCTGGAAGGTATTTGGGGGTCCTCTTGCCTGACTCCACCCAGGTGGGCAGCTTAGCACTGCAGAGCTGCCTCCACCCACCCCTCTCCCCACTGTGACAGTATCTGCAGGAGGGAAGAAGGAAAAGGACCCCAGTAGACCCCAGTAGGATCTGCCCTACTGAGCCTCCGGGGTCTGGCAGCAGGGGGCGCCATGGGACAACTCCACACCAGGAGCCAGCTCCGCAGATGACCTGCTGCGAGACCCTGGGGCCTTGCTGTGTGAGTGCCGGTGGACCAACAGGGCCTCTCCAAGGTCTGTCTGGTCCCAACCATCCTGCTCATAGCAGAAATCACCCAGGACCCAAGAGCACAGGACAGCGGCGGGGGAAGGAGGAGGGTGGGACTGGGTCTCACCCTGTGGCAGGGGGCAAGGCTCCGGGCAGCCTCAGCTCCTCCACACAGCAGCACCAATGAACAGCCCAAAGCCCCGCCTGCCCATCTGCCTGCCCATCTGGGCTTCCTGGGTCTCCCGGCATCACAGGGTCACTGCCACGTGCAGAACTTGTAATGTGCCTGGCACACAGCTTTCTGCACACTGCTACCTGCTTTCTAAAGAAGCGAGTGGGCCACGTTCCCAGAGCCAGGAAGGCGGCGGCAGAGCTGAGACCTGACCCTGGGTCTGCCTGACACCACGGCCTGAAGACCTCCCCTCTCTGCCCCCGTGGTCTGGCAGTGGGGGGAGGAAGCACCAGCTGAGGCTCCTAGGAGGGCCAGGCCATGCAGAGGGGCCGCCTCCTCCTCCGCTCTGCGCCCTTCTTCATCATCATCCTGAAGCACCAAGTGCCAGGCACGGCCACAGATCCCTTCCCCCTGCCGAGGTAGTTAATCTGCTCAGTGACCCTCGCAGGGAGGTCCTGCGACCACACCCATTTCACCAATGAGGAAACGGACACTGGCCCAGCGCCCACTGCCAGTGGGGGATGCAGCTAGGCCAAGTGCTTGTCCAGTCCGGGCATCAGTGGCTCTTGAAGAAGGTGGGTTTCCTAGGGCAGGCACTGTGGTGCAGGGGTTAAGCTGCCTCTCAGGACCCCCACAGCATGTATCAGAGTGCCTGGGATTAAGTGTCCCACCTCTGCTTCTGACCTAGCTTCCTGCTAACGCACCCTGGGAGGCGTCAGTGATGACTCAAATACTCGGGTCCCCCCACCTCCATGGGAGACCTGCCTAGATTTCCTGACTCCTGGCTTTTGCCTGGCCCAGCCCCAGCTGTTGCAGACATTTGGAGAGTGAACCAGTGGACGGAAGATGTCTTCCTTCCTCCCACCCTCCCTCCTTCTCTCTCTCTGCCTTTCAAATAGAAATGAATAAGCTTTAAAAATAATAAAAGCCTGGTTTCCATTGTTTTTTTTTTAAGATGGGTTTCTTGTGAAGCTGGCAGTTTGGGGGTAGCAGGTGAACAGCAAAGGGCTCCGGCCCAGGTAAGTGGGAGCCGCACGAGAGGGCAGCCGGCGCAGGGCCGAAGACAACCTCCGAGGCCCCTGCCAGCTCAGTCTCTCGTGCCCAAGAAAGGAAGTGGCAGGCCAAGAGGCAGGGCGGGGGGTGTGGGAGTTCCAGGGGGAACCTCGGCCACCCAAAGGAGGAAGCTGAGACAGGAGCGATCTGGTCCGAGCCTGCTGGGCTCCCGGGCAGAAGGATCTGTCCCAGAAACAGAGCTGAGGCCAGCGGAGCTGGGCAGCTACGTAGAAGTACAGACGTGAATGTGTGTGAACATATCTGTATACAAATATCTGTATGGGAGCAAAGGTGGCAGCAGAGAAACAGAACTGGGGAGAGGGACGCGAGGTTCAAGGCAGGGTGGGACCTTGGCCTCAGCCACCCTCCGGAGAGGAGTGGCCAGGCCCCAGCCGCGTGAGCCTGAGGCCTCGCCTGCTAGGACAGAGTTCCTGACTCTTCTGTAGCAGCTGCCCAAAGATGGCCGCAGAGGGTGGCACTCAAACTTCACGACCTCAGGGCCTTGTTTAAAACGCGGGGCCTCGGCACTGCCCCTGGAAATCCTGATTTCAGAGGGCTGAGGCCCAGAAACCCAGAGGAACGGCTCCCGCAGTGAGTCCACAGCTCTCCAGTGTTTGAGAGCCACACGGGCTTACGGACGCGGGCACCGAGGCCCAGTGCTGCCATTCCTTTGGGATTCTGTCCCCATTCCTACACCCAAAGTTCCAGGCCCTTTCTGGAGGGCTTGGACTCCCGAATGCCGTCTGCCTGAGTGCTTGGCAGCTAGGAAGCCGGGCAGGCTTCTCAGCCACGTCCCCACTCAGGGGGCGTCGGCCGGCGCCGCGTCGGCAGTGGAGAGTGGCAGTGCACATGTCACGCTTCTGCCACCCCTGCCCTGGGGAGTCCCTGACTCTGGCCATTGAGCGCCTGCCTCTTCCTGTCTATTGTAAACCCACTCAACTTGCAAGGCCACGCTGGGGGCGTCTGTCTCCTGGAACTTACCCAGATGGCCTTGGGCCCAGGCTCCCCTTCTCCTGAATGGGCATGGCACCCTGCTGGCGCCAACCACCTTCGGCCCTGGCCTCACCACAGCTGTCCTAACAACACCTCGCACTGGCTACTACACCTCCAGACAAGTAGGACCCACACTCCCAGGACCTTAATTTCATCAGCCACCAGCCTCCTCCCATTCACCCTCAACCACCCTGGGACCGAGTGCTGTGCACCCTGACTTTTCAGGGAAGGAACTGAGAAACTCGCCCAAGGCCACACAGCATGTAAGGCACAGAGCCCCCGCTCAAGCCCCTTCCCTGCCTGCACACCACACAGAGGGCTGGCTCCTCACAGGCCCGGAGGAGCCTCACACATTCCGTGGCCCCTGCTGTGGCATGGAGCACAGGGCCTGGCACACAGCAGGGGGGCAATCAACACGCAGCGATTTATAAAGATTTGCATGAGGCCCACAGCACGGAGGTTAAGAGGTCTAGCCCTGGAAGCAGATTCCAGTTCCGGCTCATTTATAGACTGTAACTGGGGCTGAGTTAGACAACCTCCCTGTGCCTCAGTTTCCTTATTTATAAAATGGGTACAGAGATACTCTCTATTGCGTAGGGCTGCTGTGAGAATTAAATGAGTGGATGTGAACTGCTTAGAACAATGATACACAGTAAGACTGTCACTGTCCTTGTTGTTGGGTAATGGAGTTCTGGTCTGGCTAGGCCTGGAGCAGAGATAAACCATAACTTTTTATTTCCTCACCTACACTATCAGATCTTTTAAACCCAAGTATGCAGTGCCCTGGGCCAGGTCACAGCTGCACTATGTTCCGTGAGGACCAGCAGTGGGATGGAGGCGTAAGAACACACCATCCAGAATCCTAAAATCATGGGTTTCAGTCCAGGCTCTGCCTCCTTGGTCCCTCTGGGCCTCAGTTTTTCCCTCCATCCAGTGGGTAGAAGAGTCATTGGGAGGCTCACAGAGAGCAGGGATGACACAGGGTGCCTGCTCAGAGCCTGCAGCCCTGGGTCCCTCCGCCTCCCTCTCATGTAGCCACCCAGCCACCCTCCCTCCACACTGGTCTCCTTACCTTCCTGTGCCCCGTGAAGAAGAGGGACAGATGGTGCATGGAGCCCCCATTGCGGCCCAGCTCCTTCTTGAGGGTGCGGGGTGAAGGGATGGCCCAGGAGGACGCGGCGCCCTCGCCGTCCGAGCAGTGCAAGGTGGTGTCCGAGGAGAAGCAGGGCCCGCGGGCCTCCTGCAGCAGGCTGCCCTCGCTGTGCGTCCGGCGCCGCAGTGAGTTCTGCACCCGCAGCGAGAGGCCGCCCTCGGCCCCCGGGCCTGTCTCGATCATGCTGCTGCGCTTGGCCTCGCTGCGCTCCGTGTAGTTGTCATCGCTCGTGTCCTCCTCCTCGTCTTCCTCCCCTTCCTCGCCCTCCTCTGCCTCTTCTGCATCCTCCTCCTCCTCTCCTGAGCTGCCCCTCTCGGCACCTGCCCTGTGGCTATAGGCGCTATCCAGCCGGACCTCGGGGATCACAAAGGCGGGCCTGGAGACGGCAGGCGGGGCCCCGGGGGCCGCTGGGGGGTCCCCTGTGCCCGTGGTCTCAGCCAGCAGAGGAGGGCTGGGAGGCAGGCCTTGACAGGACGGGGGGTCTCTGATGGCAGGGATGTCTTTGCTGAGTAGAGCATCCTGGCTGGGAGGGGGCTCTTGGCCAGCAGATAGGTCACCGCAGGGTGGGGGGTCCTGGGCCAGAGGCGGTTCCTGGCATGGCGTGGCATTCTTGCTCAACGGGGCTTCTTGCTCCGGAGTGGGTTCCGTGCAGGTGGGTGCATCTCTGCTGGGCGGGTCCTGGCTGAGGGGTGGCTCTGGCTCTGGAGGAGGCTCCTGGCCAGAAGAGGGGTCCTTGCTGGGTGGGGGGGCCTCGGCAGCCGGCCCCTTCCCTTCAGCTGAGGGCATCTCCCTCTTCTCATCTGCCTCGGTCTCAAACATCTGGGAAACAGAAAGCAAACAAGGAAGGTTCAGAAGAGGAGGCCACGCGATGCTGGCCCCACGTGCACAGAATGATGACGTCACGGAAGGGGACAGGAATCTGGCAGGGGCCAGGATCCTGCAGCCCCCACGGATAGAAGCCTGTGCCCGATGGAAAACTGAAAACCCCCGTGGCTCAGCTCTGCGAGGGTTCTACCCTCATCTCCTTGCCCAAGGCTTCTGCCCCATCAACAACATGGCTGGCCACCTAGGAGAGGACAGGGCATAGTACCTGCCAGATGGCCTGCCCCTACTGTGTGCCAGGTACCAGGCCTGGCTCTCACGCGATCTTCCCAAAGGCCCTGAAAGGGAGATATCACTGTCCCACTTTTACAGAAAAGGAGACACGGGCGATGCTGACTCTGTGAGTAAGAGAGAAAGCAGGAAGTCTACATTCGGGGACCAGAAGCAAACCAAGCCCCCAGCCGGGGCAGTCTCGGAGTGGCAGACTGGCAGAGTCTCGAGCCTGGCCGAAGGGGCGTGTCAACCAAACCAAAGTTTAAAAAAAGTCCCAGTGAGTCATTCAAACAAGAATTCGCTCTAAATGTCAACTATCTTTTTTTTGAAACTGGTAAGCTGGAATGAAACCAGAACTTCCAAGTCTTATACACCTGGACTAAGCAGACATCGCAGACACATGGAACCTCGCTGTGAGATCATCCGCCCAGAGATTTCTGAACTGTTTGTGGGAACCTCAGGGACTCCGCAAGAAAGCAAAGCATCTCTTGCCTCCCACAGCCCTCGGAGCCCTGGCGGCTTGCTGCGTCCCAGCCGTAAATGTCATTTGTGGAGGGAAACCGTGTTCCCTTGCTGCCGCTCTGAGAAGCTGTCTAACAAGCAAGCACCACCAGAGACAGCCCCGTGGGGAGGCAGCCTCAGGCCGGGGGCAGGCCCTCGTCACGCTCCAGGACCTGGAGCAGTGGGGCTAGAACTACTCAGAGCCCAGCTTTCATCCTTCAGAACAACACAGCCGCCTGGAACTAATGACGGCAAAAAATCATACGTGTTCCTAAGAATCGCTGTGATAGGAGGTGGTGCACACACCCGTGCACATGTGTGCACACACACACTGTAAGTACATGCAGAACACGGGTTAAGAGTTCCTGCCATGGGGACTCTTCATGTCCATTTCATGGATGAGAACACTGAGCCCCAAGAGCAGGGATTTCTCCACTGTGGCACAATCCTCTCAAGACCTAAAAGCCCACGCATGGAGCCGAGACGTCCTTGAGGCCCTGGGGAGTCTGAAGCCAGGAGTAGGCAACCCAGCCAGGCGGCTCACGGCAGCTGCAGGGCTCCGCACACACATCCGGGGTTGCCCTGGCAGGGCGGGTGTGAAAGCACAGCGTGGGTAGGAGCTGCTGTCTGGAAGCATGAAAGTGAAAGTGGGGCCTGGCCAGGGCAAGTGCAGGATGCATCACACCTCAGACAGCTCTCGGGTGCTCTGGTAGGCTCAGTGGGGGCACATGCTAGGCTCCGGTTCCAGGCCCAAGACAGGGGCCCCCTGACCCTGCGGCCTTTCTGCTCTGGGACTCCTGCCTGCAGCTCGGGGGTGATCACCCCACAGTCCCAGACCCTGAAACATCAGCAACTCCCGACCCCCACTGCACGGATAGCGAGGCTGCGGCTCAGAGCGGCCAGGGGCCAGGCAGGGCCAGGCATAACCCTCTGCGCCTCAAGGTCTCCATCTCGGATCTGCGACCACCAATGCAGCCAAGTGACCTCCTACAGTAGACAATACAAAGAAGGGAGATGGTGTGGCGATAGTCAAGGTGATGCTAAAATGGATCTAGAGGGAAATTCTGAAGTCAAAGACCTCAAATGGTGACGCATCTTGCCCACACTGTCCTCGAAGCAAGCTCTGCCAAATGCCAGGGTCAAAGCCAGCAACTGTGAAGCAGTGCCCCCCCGCCCCCGCCCCCGGTGCACAATCCTCATCTGGAAAGGAAGGGCTGGGCCTCAGCCCCCTTGGGCTGCTCTTGGGTGGGGAGAGACCCTCCACCTGCACTGCACAGACAGGAAGACTGACAGCCCACCCGGATGGTGACTTAGTGACCTGCCCAGTGAGGGGCTGGAACCTTCCCGAACTGCTTCTGCCCTGCCCGCTGCCCATCACCCACAGCCCCCCGGAAAGCACCCTCCTTCAGGAAACTCCAAGGGCCCTGCAGCCAGCGCTCGACAGGCAGGCCCACCTGCTTCTGGAAGGGCAGAAGGAAGCCGCAGGCAGCCGGGTGCCCTGGAGGCCTGGGACGGAGCTCGGAGCAGCTCGGGGAGCAGGCCGCATTCCCCCAGCCTTCCCACCCCTGGGGAAAGCGTAGTACAGCCCCAAAACCAGAAAGGCAAGTCAACCCGCCTCTGCCAGCCCTGCCCCAGAAGAGGCCAAACCAAACACAGCCAGGAGAGGAAGTGCTGCTCAGCAGGGGTGCCCCCACCCCCACAGACCTGGCCCCAAGGGCTCTCCAGGTGCCCAGCTGGTCCAGGTTCAGGAGTTTGACCCCAGTGAGGCCTCCTTCCAGCTGTGCAACTCTGGCTGAGCCTCTGAACCTCTTAGACCCTCTGTCTCCTCATCTGGAGCAGAGCCCAGGGCTAACACACTGGACCGTCTTCCGTCTCCTCACAGCACTGGCCCCGGAAAAGCACGTGGCACCATGGTGGCCGGTAGGTGTCACATCTTACTAGAAATGGGGAAAAAGCCCTCCGTGGGTAAAGGAATTCCCTAAGACATCAGAGGCCGATGCAGGATTCAGACTTGTACCTCCTGTCCCCTGGGCCCTTGACCCACAAGTGCAGGGGATTGTAGCAAGGGGCAGCAGGCCGCGAGCACTGCTCAGCACCCCCACAGCCCTTGCCATGAGGGCCAGAGCACAGCTCTTTCCTGGGCTCCCGGGCAGGGCTGTGTGAGCAGCAGCCGCTGTGTAGACGTGGTGAGGCCCGCGCTCGGGGATAGCAGGGCCGGGTGCCGAGTGCAGGGGAGAATTAAGGCAGGAGAGGAGAGGAAGATGAGGGTGAGGTAGCCGAACGAATGGCAGGCATGGAGTGCCCTGTCAACAAGGCAGAGCTGTGCTGTGGCAAACCTGCTGCGGGGGTACAAGTGGGCACTGTGGCAGGGGTCAGGAGGGGGCCCTGTGTGTGCTCACACGTTCACTCTTTCTTTCCCAGGCACTGAGGTAGGTACTGGGGACAGCGGGGACTGTCACACACCATCTGTGTCCTCCGTTAAGCAGAGCAAAGGTTAGACGGCTGGTCTGCAGGAGGTGCTGAGGGCTCCGATACAGGAAGTGCAGGCGGCAGGGCCGCCCAGTTAGGCTGCTGTTGCCACAGGCTGGGGGCGCAAGAATTCAGCCAGGGCACCCCAGAGAGACCAGCCTGCTCCCCCAGGACCTTGGGCCCAGAGCGCCACTGGATGCCACCCCGCCACCCTCCTAAGGGTCTGCATTTCCTTCGTCTGTCGCTTCTTTGACTTGGCGGGACCAGGGTTAATGCTGCCCGGGTCTCGCCTGCTGGAAGCACACAGGAAATGAAGCAGGCCCTCTAAATGGAGCCACTATTTAGGATCTAATCAAATCCTCTCCCAAATCCAATCCAGAGCTCCGCACAGGCTGGGGAAGGGTGGCCGCGCTGACGGCCAGAGCTCAAGCCTCCAGCAGCCCAGCCCCTAGAGCCCAGGTCTGGAGGTGGCCACGGGTGCTAGAAGTGACTTGCCCAGTGTCACACAGCAGCAACTGCTGACCCCTGAGGCCACCTGTAGCTCTCAGATGATTCATCAGCTCCACCGCAGATGCTGGCCTCAGCATCTGCCCTCCAAAACCACTTCCTGCTCTGGTGGGGGTGGCGGGGCAGGAGTCAACCAGGGTGTGCAGGTCTCAGGGCAGCCTGTAGGCAGTGGGGATGTTGCAGAAAGAGCAGGGCACGGAAAGCCAGGAAACCTGGGGAGGTGGGGGCTCCCACAGCGTCTGCTCGCTTGTGGTCACCGGTGCGTGGATCCCTCCACCAAGAAGCAGGTGAGGACGCCTCCTGCTCGGGCAGCTAAGCAGGGCAGGCCAGTGCTCTGCGGGGGAGAATGCCACTTGGCAAAGGGCAAGGCGCTCAGAATGCCTGCCCACTTTTGCCAGGGGCTGCTCCTTCCAGCGTGGTGCACGCCAGGTCACCAGCTCCTGGGCCCCGGCTCCATGCTGACTTCCAGGAAGCCCAGATGCTCAGGCTGCCTGGCCCAGTCCCAGTTGAGCTCCTCCAGCTCTGGCTGCCTCCGCCTCCGGCTCAGGGGCCCTCCAGGCTGGTCTCCTTCCGGGCAGTCTGGGAAGGTGGGGGCGGCACCGAGGGCGCGAGGGCTCTGACGCCACCTCCATTTCACACTTACTGGCTGGAGGGACCTGGGCTTAACCCGCCTGTACCTAATATCATTAGCTATATCATGGGATGAACGAGCCCCCCTCACGGGGCTGTTAGAGGAATGAATAAATGAGCTGGCGCACATCCGGAGCTCAGCACGGGGCTAGAGCCTGTAAACACTCAGTAAACAGTAGCCATGGCCACTCCGCTACACCTTGGCCTTGACATCTCCCTCCCTGGACTCCTCCAACCCATCTGCTGACCCCTTCCCTCTGTTATGGGCTCCCCTGCCTGTCATGAAGGACCTGCTCCAGGCACCTCCCATCTCAGCCCTGCATGCACCCATCCACTCCAGACTACAGTCACCCTGTGCGCCACCTGGTTGCGCACACCTCGAGTCCACACCGCCGGCCAGCCCAGGGCCGTGTGCCAAGGCCGGATCCTGCGGACAAGCAGTCAGCAAATCTCCACAGAACGGCTATGCCCCCAAACACCATCTTAGGCTTCCTAGGAAAGACACAATCCCTGTCCACATGGAGCCTACAGCGTGGAGGGGTCGGACAAACTTGAACCAAGTCGCCGCCCACGTAAGCCAGGGGATCCACACAAACCACAACCTCTACCATGAAGGA